GCCCAATCTTTTTTTTTTTTTTTTTTTGAGATAATTTTGCATGTATCTCAAGCTAGCCTCAAACTCTAGGTAACACAGGATAAAGTCCTGGTCCCCCTGACTCCACCCCTCAAGTTCTGGGATTGAAGTCATGTTCTACCTTACCTGGTTTTATGCAGTACTGGGGGTCCTGTGCACACTTAGCAACTGAGCTATACCCCCAGCCCTGTTCAGTACATTATTTTCTAGCCCCCTACCTTGACAGATACACCTTCATTGGCAACCTGGAAGACCAAGCTCACATTCAGGTCTCTCTGCTTCCCGTGAGGTGAGTTTCACACCGGAATGACATCAATGTAGAGGGATGGCTCGGTCCTCAGCCTGGCTGCAGCCAGCCCTGCCTTTGCCAACTTCCCACTGCTGGGTCTTCTCTGCACCACAAGGGCCGCACATACAGACTACCTGGCCTCAGCCTGCTTCCTGGCCACAGGACCTGTGACCTAGGCAAGCATTCTAGCAACTGAGCTAACACGCTGGGGTGTGGTCCTGCCGCTCAGCCCCGCTGACAACAACACTTGACGGAAAGCAGTCAGGACGGAGCCCTTGAAAGCACGCAGCCTAAGGCACGTGTGTGGCCTCCCTTGCCCAGATTGGAAGGGTGCTCACGGATTGGCTCGTTTTTGGTGGCCACCAGAACTAGAGCCAGGGCATGAAGCCCTCCCTCCCTCCACCGGAGGGCGGCTCGGATAATCCCCAGGCAGGATTATTTATCTTCTTGGAAAAATCCAGCCTAGTTTGATCCCAACTTGTGGATTTCTGGAGGCGTGGAAGGCAGGGAGGTGACGCCCACAAGGCATTTTTGTTAAGTTGGGTATCCGAGCCAGAGCCTGCTCCATCTAGGCACAGCCCCAAACAGGCCCCTGCAGCTCCCTGGATCCTGCCTCACCCTGCAGATGAAAGGCAACACAAACAAGGTGACAGAGCCAGGAGGAGGTAAGAGGTTCTGGGCAGCACGGAGATGGGAACCAGCAGGGGGCCGGGGCTGGTAGGGGAGGCGTGAAGGGCATCTCTCTTTCTGGACAAGCTTTGAAATTTTCCACCCCACCTCCACCCCCTGCAGATCGGCTTTGCTGTCCTACCCAGGAGGGGGACACTTAGACCTGTTGAGCCTTCACCGGGCACCGAGCTAAGCGCTAAGCGCTGTTCGTGCATAGCCTCCTTAAATCCCCAAAGCTAGCCTAGGAGGTGGGTTCTATCCTTACCCCCCCATCTTCAAATAAGGAAGCAAGTACAGAGGTAGAGGTGATAGGACTCCACGTTAACCCACCCCTGAAGTTCTCCTGTCCTATAGCTCATGGCCTCCCGAGAGCAGGAAGTTATCCCAGAAGCAGAGAGGGTGGCCAGAAATAAGCAAGAAGGGCCAACAAGATGGTTTGGCTGGCAAAAGCACTTGCTGCCAAGCCTGATGATCTGAGTTCAACTCTAACAAGTTGTCCTCTAACTTCCACATACATGCTATGTGGATGTGCCGGGGTGCGCAGTCCTGCGAGCGCGCGCGCACACACACACACAGAGCAAGTAAGAAAAGAGGAAGAATTTCCTGATAATGATGGTGTGTGTCGGAGGAAACCATGGAATGAGGAATCTAGATAGTGATGAAAAATCCTCTCTCCTAATCGTCACTTCACTCTGTCCAAAGACTTGTGACGGTCTCTGGAAGGGTCCTGGAATCTTGGCTGGGACCAGGCGGCAGCTTCCTTACCTCGCTCTGTTCCACACCTCAGGGGACTTTGCGAATTGCCTCTCCTTGGTGGCTCAGGGAGCCCCAGTGTCACAGCTGAGTTACCTCAGCTCGCCTCTCCCCAAAAACCTTCCCTGGAGTCCTGGGAGAGAGTCCCATCCTAAAGTCCAAATCTCACCCGAGGGGGCCTGAGGGGGCCTGGTCATCCCTTGCCCACCTTCATCTTCACAGCCTGACTCTAGAACACCAGGCAGAACGACCTGCTGAGCCAGGCCTCCCTGATTTCCCGCATTTCCTCATTCCCCACCGCCTCCCTTCTGCACCCCCCCCCTCCCCCAGTAAACGAGTAAACGATGCGGATGGTCCAGGGTCACCAGAAACCTCAGATAGGCAGCAGCTGTCAGTCACCTCACTTGCCCCAGAACAGAAACTTCCGGTTCACCCCATCATTCCGGACCGCGAAGGTCCCACTGCCCTGGGACCCACACTGTCACTTGGGGTGACGATGTCCCCCTCTCACCTGCTGCCCTTCGGAACACTGCTTTCCCCAATCCTCGGACTCTGGCAGCATCACGGAGAGCCAGCGGGTCCCTCCAGCTTCCTCAGAGTTTAGTCGCACCCGCCCACTGAGCCAAGACAGAGTTGTCTCAGCGGGTCCCCTAGGTCTGAGATGCTGGCAGAGGATAGGAGAAGGCTCTGCCTTGTCCTTCCGAGCTGCCCTGGAGGTCCTCAGTGTGGGCCGGCCCGCGTTCCTTGTCTTACCTGCAGGGAAGAGATGGAGCCACCTGCTCTCGCCTGGTTGGCAGCGCAGATGCTCAGGGCTCGCTCGTGGACCCCGGCTGGCGGGCCGGGTGGGCGGGGCAGAGCCGGGAGGGGCGGGGTCTCCAGTCCCACCCTAGTTCTGGCAGTAGGAAAAGAAAGAGTCCGTAGGTGCTTTAGGGTAGGAGTAGGACCGAGAAACAGAGCCACTGGGAATTCCAGTTTCTTTCCTTCTTTCTCTTCCTTCCCCTTAACCTCCCTTCTCTTTTGAAACAGGGTCTTATGTAGAGCAGGTTTACCTTGAGCTCTTGGTCCTCCAACCTCCATCCTTCACATTTTTACATGAATGTGCCACCAGTCATGCTGGATTACACAAATTCACGCACTCTTTCCGCCCTTTCCCCTTTCTTCCTTTTTCATTTTTTCTTTTTCTTTTCTTTCTTTCCTTCCTCCCTCCCTTCCTCCGTTCTTCTTTTCCTCTTCCTCCTCCTCCTCTTCTTCTTCTTCTTCTTTTTTTTAACGCTAGGAAGGTTGCACTCAGGCCAGGATGGCTTTGAACCAGCCATCTAACACTAGCCTTTCCTCAGCCTCCCAAGAGCAGGGACTACACACAATGATCCACCACACTTGACCTTCTCAGTGTTAGGACACTGGGGGTCCTCCTGGCCTTATTAAAATTCCTCCTTCAGACAGCCTGGTCCAGATGCTCACAAGCCAGGCTGGCTCCATCAGAAGCCCCCAGCCCAAACCAGAAGCAAGAACAGATTTGCCTGAGCCTCCCTCCCCCAGTATGAGACTCTCACAAAACTGAAGGTGGGTGGGGACACCCCCCCCTCCAAAGATCAGTTCTCAATCTGAGAGTCAGCTATGCAGAGACTCAGCCTCCAGAGGGATGTTAGGTGCCCGTTTTTTTCCCTCTGTCCTTGCAACCCAGGGCCCTCCCACACTCCCCCAAACACCCTCGCAGGTCCCTCAGCTGTCACTGTTTAGTGCTGGAATGACAGGTGTCCAGACTCCGTGAGTCCAGCCACATTCAAGGCCATCGGGCTTAGCACTCTCTGCCTCTGCTCCCCACCCCCCCATCAGTCGCTAATTTTATTGACCTGTAAAAGGCACGTTCCTGGCTGGGGGTGGGGGGGGAAACTAACTCAGGACACAGTGGAGAGTGAACAAGCAGAAAACAGCCATGAGGAAGGAGAACTCCTGAAGGGGCCAAGGACAGCCAGAGAGGGAGGAAGAGAAACTCCAAGTTTACTCTGAGCTAAGATGGAGGCCCAAAAGAATGGAAGGGAAATTTTAGCCCTCAGCCAGAAAAAACTGGGAGAAGAGAGAATGAATTTATCCTCCATGCACTCCGAGGCAGGGGCAAGATGAAACCGAAGAGATGAAGGTTGGAGAGCAGGAAGAACTGTTATTTTTCTGTCGCGTCTCTGCCCTAATCATTTCCTCCCCCCTTGAAGGTGACTCGTGCCTGCTGGGCCTCTTCCTACAGAAATAGCCCTTTCCCTGAAGAATCAACCTAGATCTTGCCTCTATTAAAATGAGAACAAAAAATTTAGGCCTTTGTGATTCTGTTCCATGCCTACCTGATCCCAGCCCATAAATGCTGCTTGTAGGGGTCTCCTCACCCCAGGTGAGAAGGGAGGATGAGAGGGGGAGGGAGAGGGATTAGAATCTGTCACAGGATGGAGGAGACACAATGACTTTTTTTTTTTTTTTTTTTTTTGAGGCAGGG